ATGCCGTTAAAGAGTCTGATCACATTGCACTCCTCGGCCAACGCCTCGTAAGCATCTGCCAGTTCCCATGTCCGCTCTCCTTCCCAGTCCACCCCGAACACCTGCCACCTCATTCCTGCACTGTGACAGCTTCCAGCCATGGTACACATGCCATCCAGCCACAGCACGCTGCTCTGCCTGGCGCAGGCACTTGCTGCAGCGCTCTGCCAGTGCTCATGCATGATACTCCCGGCTGCCCAATCTACATCTGCCCTGGCCTCGTCCTCTTTTGTTCTCGTCTGAGGCCGGGGTAGTTGCTGGGGCTGGGATCCAGACTGGGGCCCGGTAGTTTCTCAGGCGCAGCCCTCACTTAGGGTCAGCCTGGACTTCCTTCGGTGGCTTTTTTCGGAGGCTCCCCGAGGCCTTGAGCCTTGCAGTAGCATCGAGTCACAGGGCAGATACAGCTAACCCGTCCTCACTGAGTCCTCAGCTTCCTTATTGATGGCTGTGTACTCCAGCCTTTTTTGTGCACAGGGGAAACCCCTACCACATTACTGTTTTCATCCAATCCCATGGATTGGAGCTCATGATCCATATTTTTTTTTACTAACAGCTACATGTATATATCTATATCTATCTATCTAGATATATATATATATATATAGTATATACGTGTCAGCCACATGGGCTGGTTATCCCTCCTCAGCTTCCGTCTCTTTCGCCGGGCATCAGATCACACTGCAGATCATAATGCATATATCCCTTTTCTCCTGCCCTGACCCCCCCCCTCCTTTTTTCTACCCCGTCTTCTTTCTCCTGTCGTTTTTTGAGAGATACGGACCCTTTACGCGTAGTAGAGCAATCCCGCTTCAGATCATGGCATGGATGTCCCTTTTCTCCTAAAATGTTCCCCATTCTACCCACTCTTCTTTCTCCCTTTATTTGAGACATACGGAACCATTGGAGCAGAGCAATTGTGCCGAGTCCTTCCATCTCTTCGTGCTCTCTCATCTGCGGGTGAGTGGGTGAGCGGCCCCACCACACACCATTTGAAGATCCTGAGTGAAGAAAGCTGATCGTCATGACATACAGGTCAACTGTTTTTTTTTTTTTTTTTGTTGGGTTAATCAACTGACGACTGAGGAGACATCGTGACCGTTGAAACTCGGCCACTTCTCACAGCTTGGCACTGTGTTGTGCGCCTGGTGGGCCCTTGTATACTGACAAATAGTGGTCGGTACACCGGGCCCTGTGGGGGCCCCACATTAGGCTTTTGGGGGGCCTTCTACACACTGATGCTCCCCACACTGTGGATGGGACTGCGGGATAAGAGTATGGATGGGACAGTGGAACACAATAAACAAACCAAGAGCTTGCAAGTGAGTGTGCAAGGGCTGAGTGACTGAGTCTGAATTCAGTCAATTGTCACTCTCAGAGTCGTAGCTCTGCTGCTGTGGAAGAACTAAAGGATGGCTCTGGATGACGGCTCCGATGACCTAAATAGTAAATTCATCTTCATTTTCCTTTTTTTCAACCACAAGCACTTTTGAGTCTTGACTCTTTCGAAAAAAAAAAAAAAAAAAAAAATTGAAAATTTTTCACCCTTCCTTTGCTGAGCCTTGAAACGCTCTGCATGCCAAAGAAAACGAACCGGAACAGGCAGGCCGCCTTTTGGCTGGCGCCACCAGCCATTTTGCTACGGTTGGCTGCATGCACGCCGCGTCGGAGAAAAAATGGCTGGGAAAGGTTCTGGACCTTCTGGTGGTTTACTGTAACTTTCGTCTTGTCTACGGGTATACATCTTGAGAGATTCTTGACCAAAATAAATCTTGATTCTTTGTGTTTTTTTTTCTAGGAAGATTTTCATGACCGGATGATCTGGACCGGCCGCTCACCCGGGCATGATCCCCAGGGAAGTCTGATGCCCGGGATACCTGGGCATGGGGGGAAAAAACAGAAAAGAGAATTTTTTTTTTTTGGCGGTGGGCTAAGCTACCAGCCGGGCCGCCCGGGTCCCGGGTGGCCAGCCCGTGCAAGGATCAGGTAAGG